TGGGATTGCGGGCGGATGGTCTTGAAGAACCAGGTTCTCTCTGGACATTATGGCCCCCTGGGTCATCTGAGTATTCCCGGTCAGCGTCACCCGTGGTGACTGCATACAGACCACGTTTCCCCTCGCCAGAAACTGCCTTCACCCCAAGACTCAGCCACGGTGCGGTGTGGTTTACCCACCTCTTGTAGTCTTTCCAGTTTGGGTGCTGTTTGATTTGCACGGAGGGTTCCTGCGGGTGAAGGGGGGGTTGGGGGGCGGGGGGTTCGGGATGAGGTAGATGGGGCGTGGCACTGTGTGTTGGGGGGGGGGGGGGGGGGGGGTTTGGTGGATTTAGATGGTGTACTACCAGACTTCCAGCGCCCACATTGTCAATGCAAAGCAACAACAGTGGGGATTTGCAGGGGGTATGTGTGATTGGCGGGCTCACCACCCATTCGGGGTCGAAGAAGTCACTTTCCGGATTCCAATTCACCCCCGTGCGCACCCATGTCTTCATTTGCTTAATATCCTTGACCCACAGCTTCACCGTGTTGAGCCGGGTGCGTAACTGATCCAAGGTGAATCCCAAATCTGGGTGCTCTATGTTCCACCGCAGTTGGATGTCGGGCCAGCATTGGACCTTCGCGGTCGGGTTCCGGCCAGTGTCCGTCATGGCGCTAATGACAATCTGCAGCAGGTCAGTTGTCAAGTCGTCATCCCATCTGGGTATGGTCCGGGTCCCTGTAGTGCTGGTTCTTCCGTGTGCATGACTTCCGGATGGTGTAGATTGGGCGCAAGAGGCCTGAGGTGCTTGTGAAGGGCCCTGCGATTCGGCAACAGTGACTGGTTCAACGGTCGCATGGGGAGTTGGCGGTTGGGGACGTGGAGACACCGGTCTCAGTTCGGTAGGATGACCAGGGACGTAACTCCATGCGTATGGGGAATGATTCTCCTGCGGCGTATTCATGTCATTCGTGGTAGGTGTCCCCATTGAACCAACGTGTGCCGACATATCAAAGGGCGTGCGGACTCCTGGCTGATCGTGCCGTGTCGCCATACCGTCCACTTTTCTACGTCTAAGTGATGTTGAAATTGCAGGATGCAGTTATGTGGCAGTGACTCTGGTCACTTGGTGAAACGCCTATTTTGAGCATTGGCGCATGTCCCTATGACGCTATACGAGCTCCACGTATGGCGCACGCTAGCACCAGGTTCGGCATTTGCGCAAGGACAGAGGTAATGCGTTCCTTGATATCGCGTTTAATACGCCCTGCCTTGACCGTTTAGGTTTTTCTTCTAACCCTAACGTATCTAGGTGAAGCTCCAGCTAGGTAGTCTGCTGGCCCACGGTATCGCGATTAGCTGGATCCGTACGACCGCAGCCTTCTTTGGCGACTTTGAGGCGGCATTTTGGTCTAGGATGCTGCGGCAGTTGTCTCCATGGCGCGGAGGTATGGCTTACATGTGGAGGTTGGAGTTGTCGAGTAGAATGGGAGCTGTATCGACCCGTAACCGTCGGTTGGTTTTTCATGCCCTTAATTTGGGCAGCTTAACTTGGGGAAACCGTCCGTTTAGACTATCCCCAAATAGCCCCTCCGTGAGGAATGGTTGGCCCTGTTCGATAGCGAGGGTGACCCATGCCAGAAAACATTGAGGTGACCTTGTTCCTTGGGCGGGAAACGGTTTGCGACCTCATGCGATGGTGCATAATTCCCGCCAGCGCGAACGACCCACCTGTGATCTCCACGGTTTCCCGCCCATCTGCTAAAAGTTGGCGGGAATCTTGACGAGGTACTTTGACACCACAGCGCGCAAGAACAGTAACTCCCCCCTAATGATTACAACCCCTCCCTCGTAAAACACCAGACCATTGTCGGACCATTGCCAAAGTTGCTTTTCAACTAAATCGCTTCACTGCCAGACCAATGGGCTATTTAGGGGTAGTCTAATCAAGCGGTTTCCCTATCTCTAACTGCCCAAAAGTAGGGTAAAGAAAAACAGAGCATGCCCGGTCGAATCTGAGCCTTTTGACTCTTGAGACTTGCACATTTCGCAGCTTCGTACTACGTCGCGATTTGTGGAGTCCAGTGCCTTAGCGACATACAGCGAATTAGGAAGTGTGTTTCGCGAATTAGGGTTTCCTTGCAGAGATGTTCTACGTTGATGGTTTTTTTTTCCCCTACATCCAGCGGTATTTTGTTTTTCGGTTTTTTCCGCCTTCACCTGTCAACTTTGGGGGAACCCTCGTCCGCTTCAATGGGCCGTTAGGGTGGAGCTTTTCGACACCCTGCACGGTTGAGTTCGGTGAAACAAGTCGGCGTTGGGGCGGCCAAATAATAACACTGCCGGCCCAGAGGCCCCACTTGCACTTTGTCGCGACCCTCAACCATTTGGGCGACAGGGCCATTCCAAACGGTTGCATCCTGGAAGCCCCAAAAGCTATCGAACAGGGCCGTTGTGACTTCTCCTGAAAGTAGAAATGGCATTGGTGTCTAGCGGGGGGCTCGTTTTGCCCCGTGGGAGGTCTCTGGTCGAGGTAATGATTACGCCGGCAGTCACTTTAGTGTGCGCTTTGGGGCTGTTGATGGTTGTTAGACTTCCCGCCTTGTTTTGGCGTGTGGGCGGGAAACCGTAGCCATCGCAGGGGTTTCGTTCGCGCGGGCGGGAAATGTGAACCATCGCAAAGCGTCGTATCTAGTTTCCCGCCAGATTCTCTCCACCATTGTCAAATATACCAAACGCAAACCACCCTGCTATCGAACAGAACCTCTGGCTTGTTCGATTCGGGCCCTCCGATTGGCTACGCTACTGATTCGGGCACGGAACAGTTTTCAACCCCTTCACGCGGCAAAATTTCCCGCCAAGAAGGGGTTTGTAGAGGAGTGCTACACCCAGGAATTACGGGTTCTGAAAAGGGGGCGTGCTGGCGCGTGATTCTAGCGTCCGACGTGGCGTGAACTTGCTGTGAGATTGACACGATGTGTTCTTGACTGAACTTGACGTTTCATGTGTCACAATGGAAATACAGATACCCTTCTTAACCGATAGTTATCTTACAAAACCTCTCACAACCTCTATCATCCTCTTTTTATGTCAAGTGCATGGCCTCCGCGCTGACTGTGGTTGAAGTGACATGCACAGTTGCCAAGAAACTGTACAATACACCTGGCGAATCTGCCGTTCAGTCGAACAGTTTCTTGCGACGAATCACAGAGGTTATTGCTCTGTGCCTATCCTGGTTCCAGGCTGTCCTCCTCAAGTTCCCCCACCTCTGGCTTCTGGCCGCACCACTTTCTAGACTTCCGAACCTCCGTTTTCTAGTATCCCGAGCCTGCGTTTCTTGTCTTCCGAGCCTCCACTTGTGATCATCCCCGTTTAGTATAATTGTCCAGCGTTCGTTTAGCGCGTTTCATTGAGCTTTAAAACGGTGAGGAACGGTTTTCGAGTATTACCTCCCGACCATTGCGCACCAGACTGAACGCACGAAAACAACCTGCCCTAACAAGCACTCTTAGGAGGAGAATGGCAAGCCCGATAAATCCGCTAAACAACCCTTCCATGTGAGCATTTTTACCGACTCGGCAGCTTCAGCGCGTCCAGCAATTTCAATTATCCGGTCATGAAACGGTTTTTGTTCGTTATGATCAATATTTTCTGCTCAGGGTGAGCGTATTTGAAGGCGTGAGTCGCCTCGCACTGTTAGCGCAATAGATTCTGCTTCCGGCGCCACGCGCTTTCCGTAGTATGGCGATCGCATCGGATCATATCCCAAGTGATCATCGTAGCCTAGTTCAGATCTCGCCGGAAAGGACATCTCTCCGTTGTTTCGCGACGAGGGAGGATTATGAGGAGAGTGAGAGAGTGCCTTGGCTTCCGTCGTTATGGCGTTCGGGCCTCAGTCCACTGGATCACCGTCACGGTGTTTCACCCCAAGCGGCGCCGCCGCAACGTTCTACAAGGGATTTACAGGACCAGATGCGTGCATTCTCGTTCAAGAAAACTTCTACCAGTTCCGATCGAATATTTGACAAGCGCAGATTAAGACTTGCTACCGCCGATTTACCTTGAAAAACCCTTCTTTCGTCTTTCGCCCGCGCTCCTATTTTTACCACCTGATATTGTTTCCGCGAGGCGTGCTCAAGGCTCAACCCGACTCCAATTGGAGTTGTCCCCTCCACTGCCGCCGAGAGTTGCAAGGCTTGAGCAGCAATGCTTGCAGTCGCGCCGCCATCATCTCGTCGCCGCGACCACGCGTGCTGCTCGTTTTACGGCCCGCCTGCAGTCCAAATCGACGGCCTAGATTTTCCGTCGGAAGGACTGGCGTCGACGGTCGTGATGGCTCGTTTCTCCAGCGATCTAGGCGCGCAGAGATTCCCGACGCGCGTGGATGCTTCAAAAGCCGCCGCGGCTGGCGCGCAATCAGTCGCTGGCGCGGGGACATTTCTCCTCCCCACGCCTCTGCGCAGTCCGCGCGAAGGCAGCGCGGCGCCCGCCGGGTTCCGCCACCGCCACTGTCACTCGTTCAGCGACTTTCAAGAGTCCCTAGATGGTGCTTATGATGATTCGCCACGCGTGCCGCACCCGTCTACAGTTGCTGCGGCTTCTGCAGATGCGGCTGCCACCAGTGGTGCTGTCTCAGCGCTAAGGCTTAACGCCCCGCCCGCCGCTGCAGCGCGAAGTTCCGGACCCCCCACGACTGCTGCTTCTGCGGCTGCTTCTTCTTCTGCTGTTGCTGCTGCTGTCACGTCTCCGACTGACATGCCGCCTGGTAGAAGCCGGAGCCATGGCTCTGATACCATGGCGCGGCGGCGCCTGACCCGGCACCGGCGCACACAGTCAGTGGAAGCAGTGATGGAGTACTATGGAGTCACCGAGCAGGCCCTGACTCTGAATCCAACGGGGACTCCAATGGGCCAGGCTCAGGTCAGTTCAGTGAAGCGGGTCACTTCAACAGGACAGGTCCGTTCAGTGAAACAGGCCGCGTCAATGACTCCCTCATCCTCCTCGCCCTTCCCACGAGTCTACATGGCTGTGCAGTCACCGCACGGGTTACGAAGAGCCCGCTCAACTGGAAAGCAGTCTCTCCGTGATGCAGCTACATGCTTTCTGAAGTTGCCTTGCAGCGGCCCCTCCCCCGCCTCCTCTGTCTCATCGCCGTTGAAACCCCTCTCCGTGAAGCAGTCTCCCCGTGATGCAGCTGAATTCTCTCTGAAGTCGCCTTGCAGCCGCCCCTCGCTCCCTTCCTCTGCCTCCTCGTTTCCGTCTAAACCCCTGTCCGTGAAGCAGTCTCCCCATGATGCAGCTGCGTGCGCTCTGAAGTCCCCTTGCAGCAGCTTCTCCCCCCCCTGCCCCGCCTCCTCTGCCTTCTCATCGCTGTCTGAACCCCTCTCTCCTCCTCACCTGTCTACTCCTCCCTTGTCTCCTCCTCCCCTCTCTCCTCCCCCCCTCTCTCCTCCTCCCCTCTCTGCTCCTCCCCTCTCTGCACCTCCCCTCTCACCTCCTCCCCTCTCTCCTCCTCCCCTCTCTCCTACTCCCTTGTCTCCTCCTCCCTTATCTCCTCCTCCCCTCTCTCCTCCCTTGTCTTCCCAACCCCTGACCCTGATGTCATCCTCAAAGCCCATCTCTCTGCCGTCACAAACGAAACTCCCCTTTCGACCGCAACGATCTAAACCTCGCATGAGCTCGTCAGCTTCAGCCCTTTCTTCTCCAGCCGATGCCAATGTGCAGCTGAACTGCACTTTCAGATTCATAAGTGCAGTAGCTGCTGCATGCACAAGTGAGGACCTTGAAGGCACCCGTGTGCAGGCCACGAGCACGAGTAGGATTACAAGAAGCACTGATGGAAGTGACAACAGCTTGGCACCAGGATCACCAAGACAGAAGGTTTCTATCCCGGGTTACAGCAGCACCTGCAATGCAAGCACGTCCTTAATCTCGAAGCAATTGTGCAAGACGGAACGTTGTGTGCGCTTCAACAAGATTGTGGAAGTGCGGACCTTCTTTGATAGTGTTTAATCGCTCAGTGTAGGTGTAAAATTGGCTGGATGGAAAGTTAGGTTGTTTCTGTAGGAATCCTGCTCCATTTTGCGTGTGCTGTCCATGGGATGGTACATATTGTATGGTCCCTCCCCACTCATTTTCATTCCTTACCACTCATTCATAGTTTACCTCAGTTTTGAAAAAATGCATCTTGGATGCAATGCTTAGAATCCTCTTTACAAGAATGATACACACAGAGAGTCCCACGATGAATATTGCTCCGTACTGTAGTGTGAAGGCAGTGAATGTACTGAGACACCAACACACAGAAATATAATTCATAACCTCCAGTTACTTAGCAAGTACGATAAGTGGGTCAGCTTGCGGTGAGGACATAACGCCCGAAATGCCTTTCGATGGACCTCGTGTCATCCCGTGAGTGGTTCCTGCGCCTTGCTTGTCTGGACATGCATCCATCAATAGAGCCAGCCATCAACGGCGTTTCCTCACCGCCTAAAAACGTGTTCAAAGGGACCGTCAACATATCTCATCTACACGACGACAAGAAATGTCGAGCATTGAAATCCGTCAGATGCCCGGTGGCTTCGAACATCTGAGGGCTGAGATATGTCGACCTCATAGATCTGCAATCTTGTGTTCAATCTGCCACCTCCGTTTCGTCATGTGTCTCTGGATGTGAAGACGAACCCTTGGATGGAGGTCGTGTCCGGGATGATGTTTGTGATTTCTGCCCTTTATTGACGAAGTTGACATTTTCTCTCCAGGTGCCCGTTGACGTTTGATTCATGAAACGTGTTACGAGTGCAATTGAGTGAACCAGGGCCTCAGATATCAGGAAAAAAACCCTGAAATTCCTGATTTTGGCAGCCGATTTTTAAGCTACCCTGAACTTTCAGAGTTGGGATTTTTGTTGGACTGATCTTTCAGGTTTTTTTTTTTGGCCACACTGATTTTCCAGGTTTTTTTCCCGTGGAACACTGATGCCACTACGTTGTAACGAAACCGACACTGAAAGCGAATCTCACCTGTGCCATGTTACCTCGCCCGCAATTACAGGGAATCTCACATTCCCTGTACGTGGGCACCCCGGGGCAGGACCAATGTTGCCTCAGGTTCACTTTGGCTGGTGTTTTTTTGGCGCGTCGCCTCTCACACCATTGGGCAGTTTCGCTGCAGCATCCAGTGTCGGCCAGTCCTAACTTGGCAGACATGTGGTGCTGGCGGGCTGCCAAGGTTCCTGCCCCGTACCCATCATGTGCGGTGCGTTAGGGTTGGGCTGTGCTGGCAAGCACCGTGCCATCCTTCTTGAAGTCGGGGTGAGATGATGATGCCTCCACGCCGCCCAGCCCACCCACCGTTTCCGCCACCCTTCTTGTCCAACCTTTGCATCAGAACCAGGGTTTCCCTCGTTCACCCTAGTGTACCAGGAGGCAGCCAGCCGAGGCCTGAGTTTTGCGCTTGCAATCCCTTGCCTTCGCAGTTGTCTCTAGGTTAGATGCGAGGCCGTACGCGCTGCTTACCATGGCGGAGCAGCTTGATGGCACGGAAAGAAACGGCGACCACGCCGGTGCTGCGCATCGCCAGCCGCATGTAGACCGTACAGAAGCTGTGACCGGCATCGACCTGTTGTTTTCAGGCTTAGCGCAGGTCAACGTCAATGAGAGGCAACCTGAACTAGAGCCGCCAGACAAGATACCGTTCGAGCACATAGATCTGGAGCCGCTCTGTGCGTCCCCGTCAGCGCCAGACATCGAGCAAGACAGTTCACCGCCTCCAGCTGACAATACCACTCCTGAACCAGAGGCCAAGAAAACCGGCCGATACACGCAGTCAACGCTGCCATTCATTCCTAAGGCCGCAGTCGACGGGGCTACTGTGCCTGCGCCAACCGACCAACGGTCGTCGCCCGTGATAACAAAAACGCAGGAGTCGCCATCTGTTCCAGGTCCTTCGAAGCAGTCTGGACGCGACGCGCTCTACGCCGAGGCTCTGTATAAGTACAAGGCTGAGTGGCTGGAGAGGTTTGAGTGGCTAATTCTACTGCGGCAATCTGACGGTCTCCCTGCTTTCAAATGCTCTATCTGTACCGAGCATGCAGGTTATGCTGGAAAGTGCGGGAAAGGCGGGAAGGGCGCCTCAGACGTACAGACTCAGGCGTTCAAGCGGCACGCGCAAACAACCAAGCACAAGGAGGCGGTCAAGAACCAGGCGAAGCTTCTTGCTGAAGCTGGCCGGCAGCCGCGTATCAACGGTGACAACCTCGCTCGTGACACCGAGAAGGAGCGGGTCATCAAGCTGTGTGACTCCCTCCTCTTCGTGACCAAGCAGGATGCACCCATAGAACTATGGGTGAACCTCGTTCGCTACCTCGCGGAGCAGAAGGTGCCGGGATTTCCCGCGAAAGGATACGGCACCTACTACACCACGTGAGTAAACGCCGGGTTTTCATGTTCTTCGTGTTGTGTGTGTTTAACTTTTGGGCACGCTCTAACCGTGATTCACATGCGCCACAGGTACGGCTTTGGCCAGCTCACACAGTCAATCGCGACATGGTTACACACCACGCAGCTCGAGCACATCCAAGCAAGCCTGTACATCGGACTCACTTGTGACGAGAGCACAGACAGGTGTCGAGGAAAACACATGATCCTTTTCGTTACTTTCATCCGTGAGAATCGACCGGTCACTGAGTTTCTGGCCCTGCTGACTGTGGAGAAGTGCGACGCTGCATCCCTCCTCTCAGTGTTTCTGTCTCACTTGCAGGCTCTCGGCATCGACCTTGCCCGGATCGCTGGTATAAGCACCGATGGGGCGAAGGTGATGATGGGACGCAAGAACGGCCTCGTCGTACGGCTTCGCCTCCGCGTTCCACATCTCGTCTCAAGCCACTGTGTTGCCCACAGGTACGTTTTTTGTTGCACCATGCGTAAACTGCTTGACGTGACTGTATCATCCTATGCTAATATCCTGTGTTGCTCGCTTGGGTTTTCTTGTGCCTGCAGGGAGGCGCTCGCAGCAAAACATGCAGCCCGGGCCCTTCCCGAGTTCGACATGGTTGACAGCCTGATCCGTCAACTCGCAGAGCATCTCGGCCGTTCCGGCCCCTGGCATCAACGCTTTATGGAGCTTCAAGAACTCTTCACGTCCACGAACCTGGAGCTTCAGGGGATTCACACGGTCCGCTGGCTCTCCAGGGGTGACGCTGTTTTGCGTCTGGTGGCCGTCTTCCCCGCGATCATCGTCATGCTGTACGAGTGGGACGAGACGCTGTACGAGCTCGCCACGAGCTACAGGTTTCACTTCCTCTTGTACTTCCTGGCCGACGTGCTCGAGCAGCTGAACATCCTGAACAAGTCTTTCCAGCAGCGAGAGGTGAGCGACTTGGCGTTTCCGTGTGTGCTTAACTTGTCTTGATGTCTTGTTATTGTATTTGTGGCTTCTGTGTGTGTTTGTCATTGCAGTTATATTGTTGACAGTCAAACAAAACATTATTTGTGTGAGAAAGCACCCCCAATCTCGACTGTCGTGTTTCCCGCAATGTTATTTCTTTCGCCCAAACATAGCTTGACATTGCAGGTGTGCACGCGCAGATCAGGAGAACCATCTCCTTCCTAGAGACCCGCTACGTCGACTGCGGCGATGATTTTGGGGGCGGGTTGAGCGCGCGCCTGTCCCCGTTCATCATGAAGTACGGGCCGGACAGTGACAACCCCGAGGTGACGGTGCAAGGAGTGGACTCAGACGGTCGGCCCACTAAACACACGTTCAAACTGCACGAGAACCCGAGCGAGGACTACCCAACGCTGGGAAATCACTACAACTGCGTGGATCTCTGCACCTCGTTTGCAGAGGCGCTCGTGCGCAACCTCACCAAGAGGTTTGCAGATTTGGACTCCCTTGTGGGAGTCCGGCTGTTCATGCCCGATGAGTACCCACCAGAGAGAGGAGAGCGCCACAAGCAGTGTCTCGAGTGGCTCATGTCACTCGTCAGGCTGTTCAGGGCAGTGGAGACAGACTACATCCTTCCTGGTACGTGTTTATTGATTGTGCACCAGTGCTGTACTCAGCGTAACATTTTGAACGTAAAGTTCTGTGTTGGTGTCTGCCTCTGCCCTGTTGGTCAGTCATCCTAACGATCACTTATCTGCTTTGTCTGGCAGGGATCGACAAGCGCCGGGCGATCAAAGAGCTGCGAGCCTTTTGCCCCATCCTCGCAGGTGCCCCGAAGACCGAGAGAAGCTTCCATGCCGGCCTCACTGCGATGCTGAAGACAAGCGACTGGACGACCAGCTACCCCAACCTTGTGCGTCTCTGGGTCGCTGTCGCCGTACTGCCGCTGAGCACAGTGGAATGTGAGCGCGGGTTTTCCCGCCAAAACATCATCAAGTCGTGGCAGCGTGGGAACCTCAAAGACGCCCGCCTTGAAGATCTCGTCACGATGTCGCTCCTCGAGTACGTGCCCGACTACAACGAAATCGTGCAGGTCTGGCGCAGCTACAAGAAGCGCCGGCCCTTTGGCAATGTGGCAGCAGCTCCAGCAAGAGAGGGGCAGGGTAGTGGCAGGGGAAAGGAGGCAGAGGCAGTATAGGAGTGGGAAGCAGAGCCAAAGGCTCGGGGGGGTGATGATGATGATGGCTCTGATTCCGATGATGATGCATGCATGACCCCTATTAGAGAT